ACCAACTTTGCTGCCTTTTCTAAAGCATTTAATGAAATGCAACTAGCCTTCTATTATCATATCAAGAGGCAGGGATGAAGTGACACAATGTAAAGTCCTAACATCTGTCCATCACTTTCCTGTCACAGCTTTTTTTTGCTTTTGCCCTGTTCCCTTTGTACAAACTCACCCCATTCCCAAAAAAAAAAAAAAAAAAAAAAAAAAAAAAAAAAAAAAAAATCAACTGCCTGCATAAAAGTAAGTTTCTGAGTTTCTGGAAACTTGCAATCCAGCTAAGTGCTACAGAATGATGTTTTTGAATGTACCTAAAAATAACCAGAGCTGCAGTCACCCACACCTACACATATATGGTTCATCACCGCTACTCCTTATGTAAGCTGAAATTTTGGCAGAGGTAGTTCATAAAGAATACACTTGGCCATATCCTGAGCTTGATTAAAGCACTAAACAAACAAAATATCTTGGGTAATTAGTATTTTGTAGTTTTATATCACCATTATTCACATTAAAACTTAATCCTTCATATACAGTCAGCTTAAAATATCCCTAGATTTGCTTTTGAAATCCAAGGGTTTTTTCCTTAAAACAGCACAGGGAAAAAAAAGGGCCTGTTTCAAGAAATAGTTTGGGGTTTTTTTTCCTGCAAATAAGTCCTACACACAGTTGATTTGGGGTTTTTTTCAATAGACCAATAGTACCCCAAGCTATTAAAAATACATGCATATTTTAAAAACAATAAAGCACAAGTAGATACAAGAAATATAATCAAACTTAACCTCCACATAATTATTCCCACTGGAATAATCCACTGCTCATTTCACAGAAATGAAGTCACTGAAGCACACAACATCCTTGAACGGCCAGTTCCAGACACATGCCTTGTGTGACAGATATTCTAGATGTACCGTCTAGAACCAAGTAGAGATGCACAGACTTCAGCTATAAATTGTCCCTTTTCTTTTCCCCCTTTGCACCCCAAAAAAGACCATCAGACAACCAAGACCACACATTCCTACTCCAGACATGTCGGGCTGCCACTCATACCTCAGAATGTGATGCTGCTCAGAATGTGGCTGCCCAATAGGCAGACCCACTCAATCTCATGACCAAAACCTGCTACTCCCAATGAAGTTCTAGATAAAGATCAAAGTATTAATCATGAGATCCCATCAAAACAAGCCTGTGGCAGCAGTGAATTCCAGTGAAATTACTCATGTTGCTCCAAATCCCATATTGCAGTGCTGGCACAGTAACATTAAAGTAACTTATCAGCACTCAGCAGTTTTTCAATAACATATTGCAGCCCACTTTCAAACACATTTTGGTACAGTTGAAGTGCAGTATTGGAGTCATCCTCTCGCCCCAAGTTTTGTGTGTACTAGGCAAAAAGAGGAGGACCTTTCCCTTCAGACGCTAGCAGCACTCAGCGTAGCGTGTGATCACATACCACATGGAGGGTGGCTGCTGGGCAGCTCCCTTAGCTAGAGGAGGCTACACCCCATCTGATAAAAGAATCATCTGTATTACTGAAAACAAACATCAGCAGTGAAACAGCAAACCATAAGTAATCTTAAATAACATCTGCATGATAAGCAGTCACGATGACAACAGATACAAATCCATATTGTGTGCAGCATCAAATGAATCAAAGAGCTTTTTTGTTTTTATAAAGCCTTTAAAAAAGCATTTAAAAAGACCACTTTATGTCTCAGAAACAAACTTTCATCCAACTTTTTCAAGTTTTCCCATACTTATCTTTACTAAACCTATGCGTATTCCTGCAGGCACTGCAATTGCAAGTGGGAAGACAGCATTAACACAGTACAGAAGTGAAGTGGCAGAAAACAGCAGACATGAATACACAAGCACAGCACTGGCTTCAGGTTTTGTTTTATGGTAACCAGGGCTTTTTGTTTTTCTCCTCTTGACAGCTAGAGCAGAAAAAAATATAAATCTCTGAAGAAAAATTAAAAGATAAATTATCTGTTTGAAATAGCTTCATGCAACAAGTGTATTACAACCAGCCAACAGTGATTAGGAGGGGCATGGGTTTGTCTGAGTCAAGTTTAATTACCATCTGGGGCAGCTGATGGGACTCATTCAATTTATGTAAAAGATACCCTTATTAGCTCCTCTGCAATCCCTGCACCTCAAATTAATGCAAGAATGAAATCCTTTTTACTAAATCTATCTAAAGGCTCTTTCATTTCAGTTATGTTCGTGTTTAGAAACATCAGTTTCATTTTCCCACCAAGATACTCTCTTCACATTAGTGCAAATTATTCACTGCCACATACCAAAGTGAGAGAACCAACTCTTATTGAGCTCTTGTTCTCCTGGGACCACAATATAAAAGCCATGGCTTCACCATGCATTGGGTAATCTAGAACTTGTAATCACTGTCATTACAAATTCAAATACAGCTGTCTACATAAAATGTGAAATAGATTCAAGGCCTGAATTACAAAATGCCCTTAAACTTGTCCATACCACTTTCCTAAGAAATGCATAGAATTCAAAATACTGTACTTTTCTTCTTATATAAAGCAAAATTAAAATATGCAAAGTCTCTGCCATTCAAGTCCTTGGCTTCCATCTAGATTTGACATTAAAGCAGTCTTAAAGAGTTCATATGGCTCTCTGTGAAAACCAAATGGCACACAGCCAAACCACAACATGGTGCAAAAGTAGGCCAATCATTTGCATAGAACCTGCTGTCATTGAAATCGATGATAAAGTGTTGTGGAATATTTTACTTTATTCCAGTTAGAAATGCAGAGCAACACTGCAGTCACTGCACTGCAAAATGGGATTTCATGCTGTAGGCAAGAAGCTGTTTTTGATTGGGTTTGCTTTGTTTTTGTTTTTTATAGGCTAGAAATATCCCAGTATAAAGAATCTTATTTCTAAAAGCCTGATGTTAATCCCCAATTCAATATATCTCATGCACACAAGTGAAATACAACATTTTTCACAAGTCTTATAAAATTATAAGAAAATTATTTCTGTAATCATTGTTGTGCAGAATGGTTTATTTAAAGAGGCTTTCCTGCTCTTACAGCAGTAGCAGTTTATGGAAATAGTAATGTGACATTTAATTTCCCTTTTTAATATACACTAGTTGTTATTTTTAAATTCTCAATGAGTTTTAGCTTGTAAATACATTTTTTAAAACTATGAATGGCCAAACAGAGATGAGCCATTTCCAGTTCCCTCACTTATAGCTTTTCTGCATGAACTGAAAGATATAATTGTCCTCTACTTGTAAAGACAGCTGGTATGTACATGCAAATGAGGGTCACTGTAATTTCCATAAGAGATAGAACTACTGCTGCACTGGACACCGGTCCCTTCACAATAACAGTCTAAAGCATTGGTGGGAAAAAACCCCAAACCAAACCAAAAATTTTTTAAGTAAATCAATACCTTGTGAGGAAATGTGAAAAAGTCAATTTCCTAGAAAATAGGTATCTAAAAAGAAGTACCATATTCTTGAAGTTTGCCACATTCAACTTACCTCCATCATATCACCACCATAATGTCTAATTATAGTTGTGACAATTAAAAAATTTCTAAGTTGCTTATAAGCTGTCAAATTTTGATAGTTAAAAAAAACCAGTGTGCTTTTCATATGCTATACATCTGAAAGCAGTGAACACTTCAAACTCAAAAAGTTTAGGCAGCATGTCCAAAATTGTCTAAGAAAGGGTGAAAGGGATTTAAAACAAACAAACAAAAAGATTCAGCTCACTTCACTGAGGGCTAGTCTCAGAGGCTTTTCTGTGTTAAAAACTTTGAATTCTATTTTTCTAGACTGAAATTGGGGAATTTAGTTCAATGCTACTGAAGAATGAAAGCATTGTGATTTGAATCTAGAAAATAATTTTAGCTATTTACTTCTTAAATCATACTTTTCTGTTTGCTTTTCCTAAAACCACAGAAAAAGCTCACTCCATTTTTTTGCTAAGACCTTGTGCACATGTATGGTTGCTGTGCTCATGCATCTAGAACTGACTTCATTCAAAAAAATCTGATTTTATCTAATAGCAGATGTTGTTAGGGTATGTTCTCTTAGTTCTACAGTTTTTCCTCAAGTGAAAAATATATGGAATGTGTTGCTGAGTTTTCTCTGTACACACACCTCCTATGTGGCAGAAGTATTCCTAATTATGAATATATTACCTTTAGAAAGAAACTTCAAGTGAGGGGAAGAGAGGGAAAAAAAAACCTCAGAGTGAAGGAAAATATGACCATCTACTTACACAACTTCATTTGTGAACTTTCTAATCCCATGTCTTTGGGACAGGATGCAATCTGTCTAACAGGAAGGTAAAAGTTTACTGAATGAGTCACCTTATGTAGCCTGAGCAGCAGCATGTCACAGCTACCAAATTGTACAACCCCCAGTTTCCCTTCCCCTCCCCTGTTTTTGCTGCCTTTCAATACACTGGTTTTTTTTCTTCTCCTTCTTCCGCCTTCTGAAGGGGAAATTGGTTCCTTTCTGAAGTGCTGTCCATCTGTGCTAGCATGGCTTTTTCTATTTTGTACTAAGAAAATCTTCATCATTGCCTCAGTCTAACACCAGATGCAGCTCTCATGTGTTTATATTACACTAGAACAGCACCTAGCACAAGAAAACCCCAAACAGGATCCTGGTTACAGAAAGCTTTGCATTTGAAAGCTCTGTTTATGCAGAGAGCTGATTTGCCTACAACAGTGCAGCTTTTAGCATTTTTCAACAAGAATAATTTAAGACATTCAGCCTTTTCCTACAGGATGTAGACAAAGGAGACAAGCAGAAAGAAAAACTTCAAAGAGTTATGCACTTCCTTTACTGGCAGTACTGCCAGACTGATGAAATGTGACTGTGTTTGTAAGATCAGGCCATGGATTGCAAGGCCAAAGTACTGCATGCAATGAATTTAAGTATTTTAAAAATATTTTTGAAGCTGTTGTGGTGGGAAAATAAAACAAAACAACTCTTAATACATATCACTCACCTGAAAAGACATTGGGAAATGTCTCTGTAGAAGCCTGGACCCCTGAGGACTTTCTTGAATGATTCAAAGGCACTCTTTCTGTTTGAAATTTCTCTCTAAACCCCTTGTGCTCCAAGTAGTCTGCAGAGCTCACCTTCTCTGTTATCTCGCTTTTGTGATTAGACACCTCTTCTGTCCAGTCTGCAGAACGACTGAACAAACCTGCCAAACTAGCAGACCTCTTCTTCCTGATTGAGACTTTTTCCTTTTTGTGGAAGGACTCCTGCCTCCTTGTGAAAAGTGGGCTCTGGGATGGGGAGGGAGAAGGTGAATGGTTGGGAGAACTCAGTTGCCTAGTTGTGGTTTTGATGTAACAGGCGTTAATTAGATAGGGCTTAAAGCATCGGGAACCAAGCATCGGACTGTCCGCTGTTCCTTCAGAGGACAAACTGCCATTTTTCATTTCTGTGGATAAACCATTACTCAGCTCCTCTTGACTGGCTGACAGAGTGTGTTTCCCTTCCTGAGTCTCAGCAGCATGATCACGGCCTGCATCTGGAATACCACCCTCTGTTACTGAGCCCTGAGAATCAACAGCCTGCACTTCAGCAATTTTAGCCTCAGCATCTGCCACTGGAGATGGAAAAGGTTCTGTGGAGCTGTGTGCCTGAGACCCGTTTTTTACTGCAGCTCTATTCAAACCATCTTGTAGTTCACTGGCTACAGCATCCACTCCAGCAACGGGCTGCTCCTCAATCAGTAGCTGACGTTCTTGTGTTTCAAATAAGCCGTTACCAGGAGAGCCTGTGCTGTTTACCGCTTCTTTCGGTTCCCATTCAGTTGCACAGGAGACAGGAATGTTTTCCACAATTTCCGATACCGCTGGAAAAGCCCCCTCAGTGTCTGGGCTCCTCTCTTTGTCAGTGGTAGTTACAGAAAAAAAACGTTCAAAATCTAAGGAGGTTGCTTGAGAATTAGCCATGTGTCGGCCCATTGTTTTGGCGACAGGGTCCTCAGTTCCAATGTTAATTGCCCCCTGCTGCTGCTGCTGCTGCAGTCTAATAGCTTGCTGGATATCAGAAAGCAAATCCTCTTGTTCTGCAGCTGAATGGAAACTGTATATATCCGTATCAGAGCCAGAGCTGGTCCTTTGTCCATCCTGTGTCTCTGCAGCAGCTGGAACAGTTTCATTTCTGATTTCAAAATGTTCAACATCTGTGTCTGAGAGACCCCCTTCATCTGCAGAGATGCTTATATCAGGAGTTTTGGTTACAATTGAATGAGTACTGTCCAGCTCCCCAGGCTGCAAGGCCTGGCTTTCCAAAACATCCTCCCGTGAGCTGCTATTCCCATCTTTAGCCTTGGACAGATTTTTTCTGATCCTCAGATTTGAAAACACAGAGGGCCTGGAGTCCGACTTACCCTTCTTCTTACCTGATTCGCCTCCTTTTGCATGCTTCCCCAGCCCCCTTCTGCCTCCCGATACCTTCTTTGTGCCGTCCGTATCCTTGGGCCCAGAGGCATCTTCTCCTCCTTCTTGCACATCACCTGTATTTTTCTTTAGCTTCCCATCTTGATTCCCCATGATTTTTTGCAGTGCAGCACCTTTGACAATCAAGCCATCCTCCTGGATTTCATTCCTTTGGCCTGCTGGCAAGATCCCCTCTAGCGATCCAGGCTTGTTTGCAGGCGGCGGGGATGCAAGTGAAGCAAATGCTTGCTGTGCCTCTCTCCCATCTGCTGGAGCTGCCTTTTTGCATAATGTGCTGCTTGCACTGGGCTCCGCTGGGACATGCTCAGTACAGCACTGAGAGCTGCAGACAGCTCCTTCCAATGGCTGCTGCTCTTGGAGCTGCCTGCTCTCCGGGCTTCTGCTGCACTTTTGTTGCTTTAGGAAGGATTCTGTGAAAAGTGTTTCCTTTAGAAAAATCACTTCTTTTTCCACGGTTTTTATTGCCTGCATTGCAAGCTTAGCTTATCACCAAATCATTTATGATTTCAGTACTTCAATCTCCTGAAGGGAAAAAGGAGAAAGAATAAGTTAAAGCGAGGTACTTTAATTACTCTGCAACTGCTCTGTAACTGCTCAATAAATAAATGAACAAACTTAGAAAGAGAAATATTATGATTATTTAATAGTTTATAAGGTGCTTAAGCATATGCTGCTTTGACAGATTACACAATACCTCTGGTGATTTATATGCTTGCTTTTTAAAGGCCACCAAAACAATAGATAATTTTAAAAGAGTCTTTCTCCTTTTAAAGTAGCTAAAATAAAGATAATAGACAGAAAGTTCTTTCCACAATTTTAAAGAGTTTCACTTAAAATTCAATGCATTGTGGTAATTATGCTATAAAAAGCCTCCCACAATTTGTATTCTGAGAAGGTAGATATACTGTTATTCCCAGGAGAATCAGCTCATCAATATTAAAACACATCACCATTGTTTTCCCTCATAAGAACATCTGGCACGAAAAAGATAAAACAAAAAAAAAAAAAATAGTAGTATTCAAATGCTACTAAGGAAAAAAAAACAGTAAAGTACTTCTCTATTGCACCCAACATATTTAATAATTGATTTAGATGAGAATACTTCCTAGCTACTTTGGAAGCTTCTGCAAAAGTTTGAATCAGTTGCTGCTTCTCCTTCATTTTTGCTTTAGATTTATAAGCTTCAATATTTCATAAAAACATTTTCTGAACTTTTAGATATTTCCTTCCACTTTTAAAATTTAGAATTAATATAACTGGAATAGAAATCAAAGAACTTGAGAATGCCAAGTTGCCATATTCAATCATTTCTGCTGTCCAATACCTTGGTTCAACACCAAACAGGTAGTAATTAGATAGATTTTCTGTTTATAATTTACCATCTCTAAATTGTCCAGTCTATTAGATTCAGTTTTTATAAAAGACTTTATGTATTCCTCATGGCTATGAACTTCCTCACTTGCAATTTCCCTTTCATCAGGGATTGCTTAAACTAATGCATCATTCCAGGGAAACACATTCTACTGGTTTATTTAACTGTTACTTTTGATGTAATTCCTACCAGAGATTTCACTTCTTTCCTCTGCCGTAATAAACATTAAAGAAGAAGGAATACCATTGACATTTTAAAAACTATACAGGTACCCTCTCCTCCCCACCCCCTACTTCCTCCAAGACACACATTATTTTTTTTTCCAAAAATTTCTAAATACCTTTACAAATCTAGGCTCTCTTGTTATAAACAGCAAATAAGTGCTTTTTATTTGGTTTGGAAACAATAACACTGGTAATAACCCATGCCAAATAATTTTTTTGAACTATCATAATTTCTTCCTTGTGCTTCTTGGTCACTTACTGCTCTGATGTAAGCCCTGTCCTTAGGGGGCTATGGTGCAGGCATGAGAAAGAAACCTCTTGTCTTCAAAAATTTGAGTGTTTTATGTGGATCAGATGACTTTGTCTACTCAGCAGGATGATTTGGTTGTTTTTTGGGTTTTTTAAAATTATTTTTCTTTATCTAACCCAGTTAAACATCTATTTTTCTACATTTAACACTTAGCAACTATAAATATACTAACAAGAACTAGTATAGCAAAACCTGCAAAAGCATGTTACATGCTTTTGCTTTTTTACTTCATTCCTGCTTTTCTGTTATGCTACTTAGTTTCTACTTTGTTGCAATATTTTACCACTTACATCATTATTGTGTATTTGAAAAAGTCTTTTGAAAGTACAAATAATTTCAGTACAACTGAAGATACACATAAGAATTAAGACACAATTTGAGAGAACCATTGTAGTAGAATAATACCTTGACGGGTATTTTAATTTACTAGAACTGAAAAATCTAAGCCTTGATTACAACTAGAGTACTTGTATCTTCCAACCTCACTTAAAAACTATTTTCCTGCTAAAATCTGCCAGAAATCAACATAATGTAGGAGTAGTATAAAGCTACAATAGACCAAATGTGTAAGGGAACTTTAGAATTAACGTAATGTTCTGAAACACTCACGTTCCTTCCTTGTCTGTAAACTTGCCCGTCAGATCCTATACACTCCCATTACAACTAATGACAAATCACCAGCAGTGATTACTCTGCAAATTGTGTTGTAAAAGCAAGTCATTGACACAGGTAGGCTTATAAGAGAGTCAAGTTAAAGACCAATCTTCATTTCTTAATTAGATACTAGAAGCTTGTAATAGGTTTAATCATGTAAGTACTTACATTTCCTAGAAGTTTTCATACAGCACATCATGATGAGTCAGTCGTTAGAAACCCCCCACATAATGTATAGCCATAAATATTTTCAAAATTTAAATATATTACAATAAAAAACCAAATGTTAGTATTTTGGGATATGTTTATTCCCAGTTAGTCTTTTAGTTTCTAGAGTATCAAAAGTCAGAAAGAAACCATTTTGGCATCAACATAAGCTACATTTTAAAAGCTGACATGGCATTTAATATTTCACACCAAAAAAGAGAGACTTTCAACAGACATTGTATGGAGAAAAGAAAAGGATTGGGTGTTCAAGAAAGATATTTCATTTTAAAAAGTGATAATAACTCATTCTGAGTTGCCATAACTTATTCTTAGCTTTCTATAAATTGTCAACAAGCTGCTGAGGAAACCTGCCTGCCTGGCTCATTCAATATTTGCCAGAGCTCAACCAAAAATACTGAGGGGTGACACTACAAGCATAGACCTGAGATCCTCTTCATCTCTCACTCTCCTCCTAAGCTCAGGAGATGCAAATGGCAACACACAGAGGGGAGTCAAAACTTACAATTCAAGACAGGTTATCCTTGTGCTCCCAGAAACCTCCACATTAACACATTCCTGTTAAAAACACAAAAGCCCTGTTACAGGACTGTGATTATTTTCAAGAGAGTTACCATTCCCTGCAGCCTCGCTGGAAAGGTGAGTAGCTCCCCCAGTAGTGCCTGCCTAGCCCTTAATCAGTTGGGAGGGGAAGGGCAGCCCTGACTGCCCACACCTGAGTCAGGACTCCTGGAGCACAGCCAAGGCAGAGTGCTGCTCCCCTGTTGGCTCAGGGGTTCTCCCTCCAGTTCCTTACAGAAGGCTGGGTGAGCAGTCCCAATTCCTGCTGTTTCAGACCCATGGCAAACATGGGCTGCCTGGAGGAAAAGAGGGGTGCCTAGGTGAGCCTGCTCAGTGGAGACACAGCTTTCTTGGGTTGGATGAGTTTTCACCATGCTTTACTGACTGTGGTATTTCATTCTGCTCTCAAGAGTAGTTGTTGAATAAGGGAGTAAAGCGAAGGCAGCACCCTATTAGTGCCTCAGGCTGTGCCTGCTGGAGTCCAAGCCTTTGGGCAGGGTTAGGCTTCACCCACAGTACCCCAGGAAGGGGTTTCATGCACAGGAGTGTTAGCAAGACATAAAGGACCCAAAGCAGAATCCCAGCAGTGGTGCTGCATCAGCACCACTGCAGCAAAGATGTGGAGGGCAAAGAATGACCTGTGCCATGTGCCCCCATAGCACCCTGCAGAGTGACTGAGGGACAGGCTCTGTACTCACAGCCAGCCCTTCCAGCAGCCCACAGTGGCTGCTCAGGCTACGTGTGTGTGTGTGTGTGTGTGTGTGTGTGTACATGGGCTCTGTGCCCTGCCACTGCCCTGCTGGGAGACTCAAGGGAGATGAGGCTGCTGCAGCCCAGGGCAGCTGCTCTCCTGGGAGTAAGACACAATATGGCAGGCCAAGCTAGAGGTTGACTAGAGGGTGCTGAATCTCAATCTCCAAGGACTCAGGCTCCACACAGACGTGGGCTGAGGCCGGGGCAGCAGCAGTGTGAGAGCCTCCGCACTGCAGCGCAGCCCTGGGATCTGGGCTCTGCTGCCCCAGCACTGTGTGCTCTCCAGACTCTTTTCACACCAGTCCCAAAGAAGACATGGCTGCAGAAGATCCTCATATATGCCATACAAACCCTGCAGAGATTAATTTTTGTGAGTGGCTCAATGTGCATGGGTTTAGTTTGGAGAAAAAGGCACATAGGGTAACAGGAACATTTCAAAGTACTCTGGTGTCACATTACTGACTGGGCTATGGTTATACAGAGCGTGTGAAGGAAGAGTTGTTTAAGCAGACCAAAACATCCCACCCATTTATGTTACTAAAGCTTGAATTCTCATTCTAATTCAGCTCAGTGCTGGAACCTGGTTCTGATTCCTGCTGTGTCGTGACAGCAAGAAGCCTTCCCTGGCTACCGTTCTGAGCGTGATTTAAAATTTATCTTCCCAGAAGGAATCAGCTACCATTAAATATTCCCTTACATTACCAAAGTCATGTTCCAAGCAGTTGAAAATTTCTTCCTGCCCCTACATTCCCAACTCTTTCAGCTATAGGGAGAATTGCCTTTTAGAACTTTGCAAGCTATAGGTGTGACTGGCAAGAGATAAATCAGGAGAACAGAAAATATAAATTGAACTGAGACCATAGTGGCTGGGATTAAAGCCAATCCTGCCCTTGTTTCATTTAGCTCCTAGTGGATATGAGATTCTGCTCTTTCTTTCACTATGTTTAAGCAGTATAAAATCATGCCTTATGCATTGTATTTATATTACGTAGAGGTGATCCAGCTACTGGAAAACCTGGTTTACCTACTAAAAGGCCTCCTTTGGGAAGGTTCAAGGATCTTGAACCTAGCAAGAAATGATCCTAGGTGAGACTTGACTTGCATAGGAACTTTTATTTACTGCATAAAAAACTACTGACTAGGATTTACAAATGCCTACTACATAGTGCTGTACTTTCTCATAATTTCTACCTAGTGAGAACCATCATTTAAAATTAATGTGTCTGAAGAAGCAGTGTCTCCAGCAAAGCAATGCCTACTACATGCTGCAGAAGGGCACTGGCTAAGAGCCAAAATCTCTTTGAAGCATTTAACTTTCTGAATTTTTCACCGAAATGAAATAATATATTTATGCATTGTGAAATAGAACATTTTTTGTTTAAAAATACAATCAGCTTGACATAGCAAAACTCAT